ACTTTGTTTCCAGTTTAAAAAAAATAAATTTATTTATTTTTATTTTTGGCTGTGTTGGGTTTTCGTTGTTGTGTGCGGGCTTTCTCTAGTTGTGGTGAGTGGAGGCTACTCTTCGTTGTGGTGCGCGGGCTTCTCTTGTTGCAGAGCATGGGCTCTAGACGCACGGGCTTCAGTAGTTGTGGCTCGCGGGCTCAGGTGCTCTGTAGCATGTGAGATCTTCCTGGGCCAGGGCTCGAATCCGTGTCCCCTACATTGGCAGGCAGATTCTTAACCACTGTGCCACCAGGGAAGCCCTTTGTTTCCAATTTTTATTGTTGTTATTTAGTTTCCTCTTCTAAGTATGAGAAATTAATAACAGATATATCATTTAAACTGCTTTAAAGAGATATACAGTTGACCCTTGAACAACATGGGTTTGAACTGCAGATTATATGCAGATTTTTTTCAGTAAATATAGTACCTGTGTTTTAATTTTACAGATCTTTAAATTAACTAAGTGTGGGGAGAAGTTTGTGTGGTAGGCTGGGAGCATCAGCAGTGTTTAGCTGGAGTAGGTCCGATATTGTCAGAAAGGTTTCTGATCTCTCCCTTTCACTGACCTTTGCTTAAAATAGGTTTTTCTTGAGACTCTTTTTTTTCTTTCTTCTGTGAGTGTTGGTGGTTCTGGATTGCAGGCTTCACCAGAGACGAGTCTGGGATATTGTGAAGATAAAAAGAAAACCCGGGAAACTTACCACAGAGTTGTTCCTCAAATTCTGAGGTCCTTAGCCAGTCCATTTTCCTCCTTCCACTTTTCAGAATTCTCTTAACCTTGTCTGTTATATCCAGGGTTTGTAGTTATGCTTCGCAGGTAAGATTATGAGAAATGAGAAGAGACATGAATCTAGGCCATCTTGTTTGGAAACAGAAGTCCTTGTTCATGTATGTATTTTTGATTTCTGTTTTAGGTGCAAACACATTAGGATTGTTAAGTTTTCTTGGTGACTTGACCCCTTTCTGTAATTTCCCTCTTTGTCCCTGATAACATTCATTGCTCTGGAGTCTCTCGTGCCTCATATTAAGATAGCTATTTCAGATTTCTTTTCATTGGTGTTTACAGGATACATCGCTTTCCATTCTTTGTTATGAACCTATTTTGAATCTATGTCTTTTATTTAAAATGGGTTCTTTGTTGACAGTATATTGTTTGGTTTTTCTTTTTTAATCCAGTCTGCATTCTCTGGCTCTTATTAGTGCTTTTAGACCATTTACATTTGATGTAGTTGGCTTTCGACTTAACATCTTGCTAGTTGTTTTGTTTGTTCCATCTGCTTTGTATTCCTTCTGTCCTTTTTTTTTAAAAAATATCTTAGATTAATTGAGTATTTTAAAAATTATATTTCATTTCTACTATTGACTTATTATTGTACCTCTTTTTCAAAATTTTAGTGTTTGCCTTAGGGTTTACAGTGTACACCTTTAATTAGTCACAGTCTACCTTCAGATAATAAACTGCTTTGCTTGTAGTATAAGAACCTTATACAAGTTTACTCCCAGTCCCTAATTCTTTGTGCTGTTGTTGTCATGCTGTTAACACAATACATTGCTATTGTTTTTCCTTTAAACAGACAATTATCTTTTATAGTAGTTAAAAATAAGAAAAGTATATTTCATATTTACCTTCATTTTTACCATTTCTAACACTTTGTTTCTTCTTACAGAGATGAATTTCTGGTTTTAAATTTCTTTTGCTTGAAGAAATTCCTTTAACACTTTTTTTGGTACAGATCTGCTAATAATATATTCTTTCAGTTTTTGTTTGTCTCAGAAAGTCTTCATTTCTCTTTCACGTTTGAAAAATATTGCCCTTGATATAGAATTCTGGGTTGGTAGGTTTTTTCCCCAACACTTTAAATTCTTCATTCTGTTGTCTTCTGGATTGAATAGTTTTTGATGAGCGGTATGATGTAATACATGACTTTTATTGGTGTGGTATACCCCTTTTTCTCACTGGCTTCAAGATTTTCTTTGTGTGTCTATGTGTAGGTATATTGTTGCGTTTTTGTTTTGTTATGTTTTTTGTCTTTTATTCTGCTTGATATTCTTTGAGCTTCTTGCATTTGTGGTCTGACATCTTTCATTATATTTAGTAAATTCTGGCCATTAGATCTTCAAATATTTTCTCTCCCTTTTTTCTTCTTCTGGGATTTCTATTACGTGTATGTTAGGGCTTTGATATTGTCTCACAGCTCTTAGTTGCTCTATTCTGGTTTTTTTGTGTTTTTTTCCCCCTTTTTCTCTGTTTCTGTTTGGGTAATACCATCAATCCCATTTTTAAGTTCACCTATTCTTTCCTTAGCTGGGTCAAGTTATCTCTGCTAATGTCTTTTTATTTCTAACATTTCTCTTTTATTCTTCTTGATGATTTCATCTCTCTCCTGAAATGCCCCATTTGTTCCTGCATGTTGTTCATCTTTTCCAGTAGATGTTTTAGCATATTAATCGTAGTTACTTTAAATTCCATGTCTGGTAGTTGTAACATCTGGGCAACTGATATCTGAGTTTGGTTTTGTTATTGTTGTTGTTTGTTTGCTTGCTTGTTCATATACCTTGTAAATTTTGGTTGAAAACCAGACTTAATATGTGAGACTCTAAATGCTGAAGTAAATAGTATGAATGACTAAAAAATGGACTTGTCTCCTCTTCTGCTAGGACTTCACTGTGTGTGGTTGATTGGTTTGGATTTTGTTGTTGCTGTGGTTGTCCTTGGTTGACCGCCACTTTCATATCCCTTGTGCTTTTTAGATCGGTGCCTGAGCTACCAGAAGTTTGTTTGTTTGTTTTTAAAATGTACCTGTATCACTCGCACTTAGGTTTTCCCTGTAAATCTGTGCCTCAAGGAGTCTTTCCATGCTCACTTCTCTCCCAGTGGCTGATTACAGTTTACCTGTCACTTGGAGTGTCCTTGCTCCGTGGTAGGGAACATGAGGTTGTTCTCTTTTATTGTAGCTTAGCCTCCGTCTTAGGCAGGCCCTTGATTCTGGGTCTCACAGGTGGGTCTCTCTCAGTGATCCTGTGCCTCCCCAAGTGGCAAGGGTCCTATAGTGGTCTGGGCCCAGGGCAGTCTCCTGACCCTTCTGCCGGAGTAGAGGGTTTTGTTTGTTTACTTTTTCTCCATTTACCTGTGCTCTGGGGACTTCAGTTTTGCTGACCTTCCCTCAGGAGCTTAATGCTTTTGTTTCCTAGGGTTAAAGATCTGATGGGGCTTCATGTCCTTCCTGCACTGGGGGCTGTTCTTTCCCAAGCCTGTATCCGGAGGGATACTTTTTCTAATTTCTCATCCTTCCCCCAGTAGTTCTTGAGGGTATCCAGTAAGGTCTATAGAAAACCTTGGAATAGGTGTGAGTCTCCTTGTGTCTAAGATTCCCAGGATTTTTATATTTTCATGGTTCACCCTTCACCTTTTGCAATTCATCAAAAAGTTTATCTGAGGGACTTTCCTGGCGGTCCAGTGGTTAAGACTATGCGCTTCCACTGCAGGGAGCGCGGGTTCGATCCCTGGTCTGGGAACTAAGATCTCGCATGCCTTGCTGTGCGGCCAAAAAAAAAAAAAAAGTTTATCTGAAATCTTCTTACCCAGCAGTAGGATAATCCTTGTTTTATTATGTCAACCAGTACTCGTGACCCCTCTCTTCTCTAAGGCACCTGACTTTCCTTAGATTTCAGGCTAGTTGGTTTCCCTGTGACCTTAGTTCTCTTGGGTTCGAGTAAAGTCACAGTTTTATAGGTTATCTAGCCTCTTCTCATTGTTAGGGTGAGAATGACACTATATCCAGCTCTTTACATCACAAACAGAATCAGAAGTCTCCCTGAAAGATTTAAGCCCCTAAATTGCATCTAATCCTAGTACAGTTTCCTTAATACCTTAGAAGAGAGTATGCCAGATGTTCTCTAACTTGAATGATACTTGGGTTAGTGGATTGGGTAGAATGCAAGTGGTCCCTTTGCTTTCCTGTTATACCATGATTCACAGAGGGAGAGATTGTTTACATTGTTTCTACTGGTCTAATGATATTAGGGAGGCAAGAGGTACCTCTCAGTGCTTGAAAAACAAACTTTGAAATGAGGTAATTGCATTCTTAAATGATCCTCTCGAGGACTGTCAGTTTTGTAAAAAAACTTTTTAATAGAGATTATTTATAAATTCTGTAGAATTTAAATTCTTACCGTGAAGAATATGGTGATTTCCCCTATTTACCTGTTGCCTGACTCAAACAGTTGTCAACTCATGCCTAATCGCGTGTTGTCTGTCATTTACATCCCTTACCCCCATCGATTATGTTGAGGCAAATTCTAGATATAGTATCTTTTTATGTATAAATGTGTATAAGGGATTGTAGTTTTTTTCCCCTATACTATATGTGTATTTTAGTCTTAATATGTTGGCCTAGTAGGCAGAAGGATAGCATTGGTGAATTTCATGCTGTTTGCATTCAAAGGTATTTGTATATGAGATGGAGTGTATTTCAGATCTCTTTGATGTATGTGATTGGTAAATACACCTACTGACAAAAATTCTGGAGTCAAGGCCATCTACCCCCTAGTATTTGTAGACCTTTGTCTTTCCTTGAAAAGTAGACTGTTGTAACATTTTGTACATTGGAGGTTCAGTGGGTATCCCCTAAGAATAGAATTCACTCTAACATTAATTTTCATATTCCATTGGAACTCTTGTTTATACCTGTATCCTCAAAGGAAAGAGCAAGATGACTTTGCTATACTCTTCCAGTTATATTTTAAACTGTAATTGCATGTGTAAAAGTTAAGTGTTTTAACTCTGTGTTTTTTTTTTTTAACCCTTTTATTTTGAAATGACTTTAGACTTACAGAAAAATTACAAAGACAGGACAGGGAGTTCATGTATACCCATCGTCCAGCTTCAGTGTTAAGAGTTTATATAACCAGGGTACATTGAGCAACACCATGTAATTAATATTGGCTGTATGCCCTTATTTTAACAGCTGCTGAAATAGTTCAAGAAATTGAAAATATGGAGAAGACTAGGATGCGTCTTGAAGCTAGTAAACTCAACGAAAGCGTATGTTGATGGTCTTTTTCGGTATCTCGGTAGAAATGAAGGAAGGAAAAGTCGAATACCCTACAAATTAAAGCAAACTAGTGTTAAATCTGTTCAGTGGGAAATGTACTAGAACACATTTCCATTTAATGTATTATGATTTACTTGCAGCTCCTTTTAGCAATTTTATCATATTTCGAAGTCTTCTGGCACAAGATCAATCCAAAGTAGAGTTTATTGATGAATTACAGTTTTATGGAAAAAAGCATGTGCCCGTACATCAGGTAACCTTGGTATTGGTCCTTTTTCTGGTGGTTGCATTTAATAAGTTCTTTAACATTTAACCCCTGTGGCCCTTAAGACCTTCATCTGTAAAACTCAGGGGGTTAACTATATAATCTCTAAGATCCCCTTTTAGCTCTGGCATTCTGCAATTCTATGGTTATACTGATGGTGAAATTAAGTAATTTTAAGAGTTGATGAGGATTGAGCATCTATTGAGCTTACTGAGGGAATCAGAGACCTAAATTTCTTCACTATTGCCTTCCTCTAGCTTGATGGTCCAAAACTTGAGGAAAGGATACCAAAGAAGAAAATAGCCATTGTGTCCTTTGACACTGGAGGAAGTGTTTTGGGCTCTCCCAACTAGACTTTTTTTCTAGACCATCGGTAATGTGTTTGTAAGGAAAGCAACAACCTTAGGGAATTAAGTTTATAATCAGATAGTAGAAAAAAATGAGATTTTCATTGACTTTACTATTACCTGTGTGCTAACTATAAGATGGAGACTATAATGAATGTGTAAGTACATTTCAGATCTTTTAAGTCTAAAATTTTAAAAAGTGAATTAGAAATTTAACACATGAAGTCTTGTATTATTGCATTTTCTCATTATTCCATTTTCTTTGTGGTAGACTTGGAAAAGTTAGGCTGGAAAAAAAGGTAGAAGACAGACAAGAAGATCTGCCTTGTTAACGATCTGCTAAATGTCTCTTCAGTCTTATAGTTTTATGTTACCTATTGTAGTAATGAATGTGGAAAATTAAATATTGAAAGTAGGAAACTTAATTGATTGTTGTCTTAATACGTCATAAATTCTAATGGAATCAGTGTTGCATTTTCTACTGATGAAAAAAAGTAATGAGTAAAATGTATGTTAATTACAATATTCAAGAGAAGTAAACAGGAGTTAATCTTCCTAAGTCTGTATAAAACAGACATGAGAGATTATTTTCCTCTATTTTAAACATCCCCATTTGAGATTTTAAAGTTTATAGTACTAATTTCTATTTTTTGTCATTTTTGGTAATTTTTAATTAACAATTCTTGGATTTTTTAGATAATGGTTTTTACAAAGGACCAAACAGAAAAGGAAATAGATGAAATTCACAGTAACTATCGTAAGTTATGTGATGTTTTCTTTGTTTACAAAGAACTTGGGTTACAGTTTTTCATCTTAAGTATTTTTATATTAATGTTTAATACAAACTTTCTTGTTAATATTACTTAAGAGACTGAATTTTGGTTGAGTGTTTACTCAAGACAGTGACCTTTTTTTGTGACTGTGTGTGTGCTCTTTGATTTGTGACTAACATTCTACTTTGAGCTTATCACTAAGCACTTTGCAGATATTAATTAGTTGCTCTCAAAGCATCTCTGTGAGAAGAAAATGGGGTTAAAATGGAAACATTCCTGACTTTGCCATCCTGTCCTCAGGCCAGTGACAGTATTTATGTAAAGAATTTCAGCACTCTGTAGCTTGCATATTTATGCTGAAGATAGTTTTCTTTTTATTCATTATTACCAGCTTCCCAACTTTATCGCTTCATTGTCCTTAAATGACCTTTATATGTATCTTTCCCAGTGCTAGCATATTACTGTTTTATCAGTTAGATAGCTGCTTATTCTTTGGCTGGTTGGTTGGTTTTTAGTTTAAATTTAAGTGCCTGGCAAACAGTATGTAGTTAATATTTGCTGAATGAATATTCCACACATGATATGCCTTAGTTGTGCCAAAAGAATTGTGTTTTCTTTTTTCACTTCTTAAGCTTTGAAGGGGCAGATACAGCTGTGATCTGTGTGGGGTGTGGGGAGGGAGGATGAAGTACACAGGCAGTAGATGTAGTTGTGATGGCCCGAGCCTTCTCGGAGCAGGGAAAGGAGGCTGGAGGATTCACGGACCAGAGGCTGAACCACAAAAGTTACAGCGCTGGTGCTCTAAAGATAGACAGATGTGATCGATCCTCTTTGATCAACCTTTAGGAAGCCAAAGTAATTTTTCTTGATACAGGAGCTAGAGAATATCAGATGATCGCTGAAGTGGCAAAACTAAGGCCTGTAACAATAAGGAAACCAGAAAATTTGCATGGAACAAAAATAATTTAAATCACTAAAGGATGGTATCTAACAATTATGCTACACTAAAGAAAACGTGGGTTAGATATAGGCAAGAAAATATACAGATATCTATTGCCCACCATTTAAATATCTTTAAAAACTTTAATTTTACTAAATAGGTCAACATGTTAAATTAATTCACTTAGCTCTAAAATAAACCTTGGTATATACTTTTTTTTTTTTTTAAACCTTTTGGGCACTTACTAAGGCTCAAGCACTTATTATTAACATTATAGTATAGTTAGAGTTTGATTTAGTATCAGGATCTAAATATACCATTGATGGTTCTTCTGTTTTTTAAACCTTTTTATTAATGTTTTAATGTACATGGGTTTTTAATTTTTTTAATTTACTTTTGGGCTGTGTGGGGTCTTTGTTGCTGCGCGCAGGCTTTCTCTAGTTGCGGAGAGCAGGGGCTACTCTTCGTTGCGGTGCACGGCCTTCTCATTTCGTTGGCTTCTTTTATTGTGGAGCATGGGCTGTAGGCGCGTGGGCTTCAGTAGTTGTGGCACACGGGCTCAGTAGTTGTGGCTCGCGGGCTCTAGAGTGTAGGCTCAGGAGTTGTGGTGCACGGGCTTAGTTGCTCCGTGGCTTGTGGGATCTTCCCGGACCAGGGCTCGAACCCGTGTCTCCTGCATTGGCAGGCGGATTCTCAACCACTGCGCCACTAGGGAAGCCCATGTATGTGGTTTTTAAGCACATTTCTCTAAGGCTTATTAAAAACTCTGACTCCTCGCCACCTCCTTGTCTCCATCTTCATTTCCTAGAATTAATAACTGTCAAATCTTTTGACTTTTGTTTTAGTAATTACCTTCATGTTTATAAAAGATTATTCTTTCTGCTATTTCTTGAAGTGTTTCAGTTTTCCATGTTAACAATTGATTGAAGTCCCAATTTGAAAAATGAAAATTTAGCTCTTTTGTGCATCCTGACTCTTACCTTCTCCTCCCTCCCAATTTCTGAATATTGTCATAATTTTTTATAAGGTCCGTATTAGTTAGAGACATTGTATACAGTTTGAACCAGGCAACATACAATACCATGGTTATGAAGTGTGTCAGAGTATGCCACCACCCAAGAATATGCCACCATGACATGTTGCTTTGAGCAGAAGGCAATCGAGAAGCAGCAGAAAGGAAAGCTCTCTGCCTTCCCCCATTTGCCTAAGTGTAGGACAGAATTACAAAGGTGTCTGTCCCTCCTCCCCTCTCTATCCCTAGAAGTAAGTCTTCCTGTTGATGGAGAACGCTCTGACTTAAATCGGCATAGCAGACTTCACTCTTGTTTACTGTGTTTTTCCTGGCCATCTCCCCATAACCGTCCTCCCACACACCTTTCTTTTTTTTTTTTTTTTTCAGTACATGGGCCTCTCACTGCTGTGGCCTCTCCCGTTGCGGAGCACAGGCTCCGGACGCGCAGGCTCAGCGGC